GTAAGGTTTACTAGTTAAAATTATTTGTGTTAATTTGTATTTTTGCAGTTAATTAGTATATCCTAAGAAGATTTGGATGACTTCAAGAAAATACGAACTTCCTGCACACGTGGATGACCTCGACAACCATTCAAGGAAAGCCTAGTGTTGGCCTCCATATATATATATATATACATACATACATATATATATATATATATATGTATATATATGTGCGTACTTCTTTGTTTTTAAACGATATTGTTAATAATTACGACACAGAAGAAGATTAATTGTCGGAGATAAAACGAAATACTGGTATAAGGTGTTCATGTCCTTTTTAGTTGTCTTTAGTTATCGTACTTTGATTCTTGCATGTAATTTGATTTCTTGCTTTTATATAGGAAATAAATGACAAATTAAAAATATTTTCTTTTTATATATGTATAATTTTTGTTGAGTGTTAAAAATTATAAAAAAAAATTAAGACAACTAAAAACATAAGTCAAAATATATTTAGAAAGTCAAACTAAGATAACCAAAAAAAAAAGAGAGACGGAGTAATTAATTAAAACAAAAAAAAGGGGTTAGGTAATTAATAAATAATTTTTTTGTTGGGTAGATTAAGAATAATAACCTTTTGAAGTAGACGTTAATATTATATTAATATACTAATACTAAGGTATCAATGGTTGATAGGCTATATTTTATTGCCGAATGTATATTACTAAGAAGAATAGTTATTAATTAGTAATCTAGTTGTTGACACTTCACAAGTTTTAATTTTATGAACTTTGAGGTTTTGATGATAGCTTCAATATTTCAGTTAATTTGCAATCTCATGCTAAGTAATTATGAAGTCAAACATTTCAAAACTTGCTAATACATAGAACTATATGCTAAATCCAGATTTCTGGCAATTTAAATTTGACTTCTATATAAAACAAAAACAATAATAATAAAATCAGTGACGACGATGAGACATTGGTGCAACGGCTAACAACATGCCAAGCATGTTAAGATTTCCAAAGTTTACAATAGTAGCTTTATGTAAGGATATATGCATTGTAAAAAGATACTATTAATTTGGACAACCACTCATACTTTAAATTAATCAATTTAATTTTGATTGATTAAGAAAAGCCTCAAGATTGGAATCTACCTATTTACTCCCAAGAAAAAAAAAAAGGAACAATAAAATACAAAAAATTAGGGGACTCTGGGAATAATTAGAGAAATAAAAAGAATTTAAACCTTGATTATAGAAATCACAAAGTACATTTTTACCAATAACTTAACCAGACACTCTACACGCCTTCCTCGAGTTTACTTCTTGTTTTTGGCCCCAAAGGTAATTTAGTTACCATTTAGTCGGTTAGTCATGGTGAGTGTGGTCACTGGCATGATATTGATAGGTATGCATGGCAAACATGTGGGGTTGTAAGAGAAAGGGGAAAGGGGAAAGGGGAAAGGGGAAAGGGACAATGGACTCTGGGAATGATATGGAGGAGGTGATTTGGTATGTTATTGGAAATTTGATGGCATATTCTAACCAAATAATAAGTATTTAAATTGATATGTAATTAATTTGGAAGAGTAAAAAGACAGTGCTGGACTTTTTTGATAGCATCAGCAAGACTAGCTACGACCAATTTCCCAATGAAATATATGCATGCATGCATCTCTATTTATTCAAATTTTGAAGTATTAATTAAAATGAATAAAATATATAAAATATTAATTAAAAATAATAAATTTATATTTTTAAATAGGTGTTAACAAAAAAAAAAAATTTGTTCAAAGTCTAATAAATAAAGCTTGACCACAATGCATTAATATTTAGATGAAGGACCACCAAATAACCAAATCAGAGAGAAACACATGTTCATACACAACTACCACGGAGGAGTATGCATCATTTTAGTGGGCATGCATGTTCATGATGAATTTCAGTTACATACGGAATTAAGACCCTCGATCGATGCTTTCCAGCTGCTTACTGTCCAATTTTCCGACACCTGTTATTCTGACAAGTACCGTAAGAACATCAGTAAGGCAGTAACCATCAGGTCCAAATTCAAGCCCCGTCTCTATAATAGTACATAAAAAGTGTGAAACGGATATTACTGCAATCAACAATTCATGTGCTGAAACAAAGACGTGAAAAATAATGGTGGCCACGTACGAGACATAAGTTTCAGCTTTGCTTGGTCTCATTTTCTAGAACTTTGTAACTGCTGCGCCCACCATCCCCTTATCCATATCCAAAATATTCAAACAATCTTTCTGCCTTTCTATGATGCTGTAACTTAACTGCTAGTCTACTACTACTTACAACGAGTTAAGGAAAAATCTAGACATAAATTGGTATAGGCTATTTACAGGTTCAAAGTTGGTATGTTTGTAAAGGCAGGAGTATCCATGTACTATCTTAATAGAATCTGTTGTTAAAAGAAAAAAAAGTGTGAGCGGTTACATATCTTGGTGATATAAGTTGTAAGTACTAAATGAGAATGATGAAATTAATTAATGACCCTTCACAAGTTAAGATAGGTACTCCAACAACATCTTTTTAAACCATTTACCTTTTTATTCACCTCATCGTGGCAATGTTGATTATTAGAATCCATGAAAACTTACTTGAGAGATTATCATAAGGCAACTTAAATTCTTTAGTAATTTTTTTTAGTATTTTTTTATAATATATAACTTATATAAGAGGAGATAATTTCTTATTTTTCTTAAATATATTCTTACCCACTCAACTTATAATTTGAATATAAAATGAGATTTTTAAATTAAAATCTTAGACTCTTAATAACCAATTTAACACTTCTTTTTCCAAATTCCTTTATAAGTACTTCACCGGTTTTATACCTATAACTTTTGGATAATTAGTACCATCAAAAGGAATTTAACATTGTATGAACACATGATAAAACTAATTACTAACTAAAAAGCACACAAAATGTCTGCATGCACAATTATTGTGCGAAAGCAAAGTAATGCAAACCATATATAGAGAGAACATCTATTTACACATGATTTTATAAATATTACTTACACAAAATCTCTATTATTTAATTTATATCATGAATGGTTGAGATTTATTATAATTTTTAAATAAAAATAATTATTTTTTTAAAAAATAAAATAAAAAGTAAATAAATCTTAACTATTTATAGTAGATAAAATTTTAATTTCATTCAAGACAGACAAAATATAGATTTCATATTTTCCAATTTGCAAACAAAATAATTAATATAAAGTAAATGGAAAGGGGGCCTTCCCTTCAAACATAATTAAGGTAAAAAAATTAAAATGTAAGTGGACCTAATTCTATGGGTGTAGGAACTAATGTGAAAAGCAAATCTATATACTAAAGAGAGAATGTTATGTAAAGTAATATATTTATGGGAAAGTTGTTGGTAGCTAGAAAAATTTAAATTAAAAAAAAAAAATGGAGGAAGTAATGTGAAAGAAAAACAAACAATAGAAAGTATTATGTTTGGTTATGGAAACACATCTACCAAAAATGTAAATCCACGTGTTAAAAAAACATTTTTGATGCTCTTTTTAGGACAATGTAAAATACAAGGAAAGAAATTGAATATGCTTATAAATAGTTGAGGTAAGAAAGCTCAACATATAATAATTCTAGTTTGTGAAATCCAATCTTAAATTTCTTAAAACTTGCTGTAGTGACTTAAAAAGTCAAACTCAATTATTTCTACTAATAAATTTTTAAATTTGTGATAAAAATTAATTTGTTAGAAAACTTACAAAACTGCCCTATGCAGCCATAAGCTCAAGTACAAGTGCCATATGTGTCTTACAAGGATGAAAAGAAATTTTATTTAATTTAATTTTTTAATTGGGAAAAATGCA